CTGTCTCTATCGGCTTCTGATGGCACAAACGATGAAGCTCGGAATTTGAGATCCAATTATGGGGCCACCAAGCACGAATTATGTACCGCAGGCATCGATTGATAAACACCTGCAGCTTCTGAGTATTCTCCGCTGATACACACCTTGTTTCACTGGCGTATAACAGCACAGACTTCACGTTCGAGTTAAAAATTCGGTGCGTCGACTGATCTGATTCGCTCTCCATACATTTCGCAAACTGGCAAAAGCAGCCTTCGCCTTCTTAATCCGCGCACCTATGTCGCTCTTGGTGCCGCCGTCCGACGCTATCTGGCTGCCAAGATATTGGAAGCCTTCGACTTTCTCCACTGCCTGCCCAGCTACCCTGAAATTGGAACGGTTTTCCGTGTTGACATCCAACGATTTGGTATTGTTGACGTTGATGTTAGACCTGCTTCAGAGGAGCGTTCCACAAGGTCGTCGGACTTACTCTGCATGTCAGAGCGCCGTTGTGCTATTAACGCAACATCATCAGCCAAACCGAAGTCGTTGAGATGCTCCATGGTAATAGGCTGCCACAGCAACCCACGGTTCGGTACACGGTCAACGGCTCCAACCATGATCTCGTCGATTACGATGAGGAACAGTAGCGGTGATAATATACATCCTTGCCTCACACCCGCGATTACCCGAATCGGGTCTGACAAAGCTCCGTTGTGCAACACTCTGCATGAGAAAGCCTCGTACTGCGCTTCGATGAGGTTCACGATATTATCAGGGACTCCCTTGCGTCTCAGAGCACCCCACAAGTTTTCGTGGTTTAGTCGGTCGAAAACTTTTTCGTAGTAAATGAATACCAAGTACAGGGACTCTTGGAACTCATTGACCTGCTCCAGGATGATGCGGAGCGCGACAATATGGTCCACACAGGATCTTCCAGCTCCGAATGCTGCCTGCTGTCATCGGAGAGTCGCGTCGATCTTCTCCTGTATCCGATTGAGGATAACTTTACACAGAACTTTGGATCCCCCTTCTTGGAGACTTTTACCAAGACGCCCTGCATCCAGTCGGCCGGCAAAGTCACGGTGTCCCAGATATTGACGAATAGTTGATGCAACATTTGTGAGGATAGCATGGGGTCAGCTTTGAGCATCTCTGCTGATATGCACACTTAGATTTTTTTTGCCGAGAAGGGCACCACCGAGCAGCTCGGCATTTTATTTTGCTGGAAATTCAGCAAAAATATGTTTGTTAGCTGAGATTTCGGCAAAATTCCCGTTTGTTAGCTGAATCTCGGCAAGTTTTTCACTGAAATCCAGCAAAATAAAATGCCGAGCTGCTCGGTGGTGCCCATCTCGGCGAAAAAATCTAAGTGTGTGCGATCGACTCCCGGGGCTTTGTTGGACTACATACTTCGGATGGCTGCTTCTATCTCCTGCAATGATGGAGCTTCAGTGTTGACGCGAGTAACGCGCCTCACCTTTGGTGGATCATGCCGAGATGTTGATGGTTGGTTGACCGTTGAAACTTCGAGAAGTTGTTCAAAGTGCTCAAACCAACGTTTCAACTGGTCAGTGGGGTCGGTGAGTCCAGTCGCGTTTTTCACAGGCATCCTTGGGTTCATCCTTGCCCCACTCAGGCGTCGTGAAAAATCCTAGAGGAGGCGGATATCGCCAGTTGCTGCGGCTTTCTCCCCTTCATCAGCCAGGGAGTGCACCCACGCTCGCTTGTCCCATATACATAAGGAACGCCTAACTTCCCTCTCTAGAGCCGAATACCACTGACGGGGCTCGTTCTTGGATCCCCGGGTCCTTGCTCGCTCTATCGCGGCTTTTGCTTCTCTCCGCTCCTCGTTCTTCCTCCAGGTTTCATCGGTGATCCACTCCTTCCTCTGAGTGCTGACCAGAAGATGATGGTCAGACGCGAAGTCAGCGTTGCGTTTATTCCGAACATCAAGAAGGCTCCGTCTCCATTTTCGGCTGATGCAGATGTGATCGATTTGGTTCTCTGTATATCCATCACGGGAGACCCAAGTGCCTTTATGCACTGGGCGATGGGTGAAGAGCGAACCTCCGATCACCATGTCGTTGTTGCCACAAAACTCTGCAAGCAGCTCGCCGTTCTCGCTCATATCTCCGAGACCATGGCGTCCCATAATGTGCTCATAGTCCGAGTTGTCGGAGTTGATCTTCGCATTGAAGTCGCCTGTGTAGATCTTGATATCACCTCTTGGAGTCTTATCCACGACAGCATTCAGTTGACTGTAAAAGTTCTCTTTGTCCTGCAATTCGGCAGCATTGGTTGGCGCATAACATTGGATTATGGTAAGGTTTCGGACCCATGTTTTGAATCTGGCAACGATTTTTCTCTCATTGATAGGTTCCCACTTGATGAGCCCAGCCTGTGCTTGGGCGCTAAGCAGAAAGCCAACTCCACGATGTCGCGGAGCGTTTTCACCTCGCATACAAGAATATAAAAGTACCTGTTCCGAAGGCAGCTTGTGTTCTTCAAAGTTCGGCCAGCGGACTTCACTAATCTCAGGATTTCTAGCTTCATACGGCAAGACTCACTGGCGAGTTGTGCCAGTTTATCCTGTTGAGCTAGCGTCAGTACATTCCATGTTCCATTTTTTGTCCGTTGTTTAGCGCTAGAAGTCGTTGCCATAAAATCAGTTCATAATCTTTCATTATAGGTTTCTGTAACAATTTGAAGGTTTCGGAGACAGTAGGTGGTTGGCCTAAAGTCTCCTATCCGCTGTGATGGGACTGCCATCTTGGGTATAGCTTTCGGGGAGAAGCATTTCTTATTCAGTCGCTGGATGTCAGTCAGACGCTGTTTGAGCCGCCCCTAACATGGAGAACAGACGCTCGGGTTTTGTAAGCCACATCCTCCGAAAAGGATGCAGCTCCTCCTTCCCTGTCAGCACACGACCAAAGCTCCCATCGGGGTTGGTTACCCGATCTTCCCTAAGATTACTCGTACCCCAGCCAGCGCCGCGGAGAGGAAGGGATAGGAGTTATTGGGCAAGAGGCTAAGGACCACTTTCACTAGCGTGACGGGTCTATTTTATAACCTGCAAGTACGCGAAGTACCGGTGGTACGCATTATCCCAGTCATTTGCCAGCCATTCAGGTGGATGAATCTCAAAATTAATATCTTCCAAAGATGAAGCATGTCATATCAATCAACTTTTCCCAAGGCGTCATAACTCTAAATCCACTCTCCACGGTGCTATTAATTAAGCATGTCAAAGTGGACTTTTAAACAACTGTGACCCGGTTTGGTTCATAAATGGAGGTTTCAGTGTAATAGACCTATTGTATGTATGGTGGCCAGTTTAGTTGAAGTTTTTTTTCACCAGGCGGCACTAGTGTACGAAGTGACTTGCTGTCTTTAACCGAGTTGTTCAGATGTACAAGACCTATTGGATGGTGCACAGTTTAGTTCAGAATTTAAGGAATTAAGAGTGCAAATAAAATAATGATTCTTTAAATCGAAATTTTAATAAGTTCTTCTTATTCTTCATATTTATTATGTCCCAACTGGAACTTTGTTATTGTCTTCATCTTTCGTTTCAGGTGCTGTGCATGTGCTTGTGAAATGGAGATTACACCAATGTAATGTATTGGTTTGTAACGTATTGATTTGTCGGTATACGATTTGCAACTTTTTTTCCTTTGGTTTGTTTTTTCCGTCGGTCTTGTTTTCCGTGCTGAGCACCAATGCTACCGACGTGCCAGGAAGGCAGCTCCCACACCTGGACCCTACCTATCGACCCATCAACTCATGAACCGGGGACCAACGGCTTTACTTCCCATCCGAAGGAAGGCGTGATCAGAGATGTTATGCCTCAGAACATCCCGGCGGCGCCGACTGTAATTGAACCCAGGCCTGCTGGGGTGAGAGGTAATCACGCTTACCACTACACCACCGGCGCCGTATTTGCAACTTTCATGGCATACATCAGCGATAGAAAACCGGACATAGATTTAACAAAATGGCACCATAATGTTTGCAAACTAGGCAAAAAACAAAAAAAAACCAAACAAAAACAATCAATCTAGTCCTATGTGAATAGTACGCTCGTGCTTGGGACACAACCCTTAACTTTTTTTTCAGCTCACCGTTCATGTAATCTTGTAACAGGATTAACATTCTTATAAGTTTTAGAAAATCATTCGCATGATTTAATCGTGCATCATGTTGATTACAGCTAGTACATAAATCACGTCGTTGAATTGCTGCTTCAAAAATGAAAATATTTGCACAATTTGTCATGAGCCTACATCTAACTGTATCCTGATGCAGCCAGCGGTGCATGGCAGCTGAAATAATGCAAAGGCATAAACTAAACATCCATTCCAAATCCGGGCCGTTGGTGTGAAAATTCTCAGAATTATTCTCAAGGTTAGCTTCAAATCACCATATCTGATTCATTAGCAAATTCGGTAGAAGCCAGTGAGCGCGAGTAGGGCTAGGAATTGGTTAACACTACTGACATTGACCGGTTCGCCCGGGGGGCGAGGGGGTTTGAGATACCGAAATAGTGAATGTGAATCACTGCACCGATTGTTTCGTTTCGTCGTGATGTTTTCTGAGAATTATTTGTATGTGTAGCACTTTAAAATATGCAACAATTAATCTACAACTCACGACGATCAGATGATGTGGCTGTGAGGAAACGCGTGGGAGAAAAGTTAATTTCATCGTGTTGGCTCTCGGACTGGAGGGTTCGTCGCTTCGATGAATACAGGCCTCTTTCTCTGTATGTATTGTTTCCTCCGTGGGAATGGTCCTAAAGCAGTGGCGATTCAACCATTTGTCTGGAAAATGGCAGTGGATGAGTTTTTGTCGATTTCTTTCAATGCAAATAAAGGTCATTCGATCGATTCGAATTACACACAATTTATTAGATTCGTATTTATTTACAGTTAATTGAGAAAATTTCGCTTCTCACATACTAACCCGTGTTGCAATGAGAAATATAAGAATTATTTACACAATCCTCTTTCTCTTTAAACCTTTAACTAGAAGAACCGATGAAATCGTGGACTGAAGCCTCCGAATCCACTGTATCCACGTCCAGCGGCGTTACCATCAGCTGGCGGAAGGTAGGCATTTTGTGGACCACAGTATGTTACAGTTACTTCTGGCAGTTGAACGGTTGAGTAGATGATTTGAGCATCGTTTTGACCTCCGGGTAGCGTTTTGGTAACAGTTTCAGTGACGTATTGCACATCGCGAAGGGTCATTGTCAGTACATTGTTAATAGTTTGAATCTGACCTGGTAGTGTCACGGTGTCGTAGATCGTTTGATACACAGGTCCTTGTCCAGGCAGTTGAATGGTTTGGGTTTCGGTAACGGTTTGGTAGACTGGTGCTGGACCGGGTTGGTTGACGGTTGAGTAGATGATCTTAGGAGGTTGGGTGATGGTGGAGTAAATGGTTTGTCCTGGTTGGATAATCGGAGCGGCAGTTATGGTGGTTTGAATGGTTTGGATGACCGGTGCGGTGGTCGTGTAGTATGAGGTTGTTGTTATGTACTGAGCTGGCAGTTCAACGGTGGAGTAGATGACCTGTGGTGGGAGGGTTACTGGTGGAACAAATATTGTGGTTGTGTCACGAATGGTAGACACAACGGGCACCGCAGACGTTTGAACGATCGTTGATGTCCTGACGACTGGTGGTAGCGAAATGGTTGTGGTGATAGTTTGACCTGGAAGAATCTGAGGTGGTAAAGTCACGGTTTGTGTATCTGGAACGGTTTGGTAAACTGGAGTAGCCTGGATTTGAGTGGATACGTAGGTTAATACAATTGGTGGTAAGGTGATCGTTTTGTAGATTGTTTGGTCTCGTTGAGCTGGAGCAGGTACCGTAACAGTATTCGTTTGGATCACGGTTTGGTATACTGGAACGGTTTCGGTATAGGCCGAAGTAACATAGATCGATGAATATTGTGTCGTAACTCTTTCGTCATGATGGATTCCTCCCTGGAGAGTTTCCGTTTGCACTTGATAGTCCGTAACGGTTTGTGTTATGTAAACTGTTTGGGATTCCTGCTGTCCGCAGCCTGGCTTCGGATAGAAATAGCCATTGAATTCCTCCGCTCGGGCAATAGCAGCCAGGGCAAGAACAAGAAGTATCGCAAAATTCTGCAAATCATAATCAAATAATCAAACATTAGCGAAAAACGTCAAAAGTTCATACATCTCCTTCGATACCCCTTACACAAATAGCCAAAATTTTACCCAAACAAATGTGAAGGCCAACCACTGATGATTGCGGTGACACTCTAATGACTAGGATAAATATCAAGTGGATCATCAGTCGGTTGGATTATGTAATCAATTCCCAGGTAGCAAAACTCTTGTCACTTCATGTTCGTCATCAGCTCTAACCAATTTTTATTACGACTGGCGAGAGCTATTATACTAGTTCTTATGTAAATGTTTAGTCCCTTCTCCCCTGCATGCATTTATCTGACTTTGACATTGACCATCACATATCGATTATCAGAAGCTTATCAACTAAAGCATTCTGCTAATTGAGGAAGCAGATATGATCGATTAGACTCAGTCGCATATTAGGCTTCAGTGAACAGTCTCATTTGCTAGCCGCTGTTTGGATTGGGCGAAGAAACCTGTTCACACAAATGCTCAGATTGTATTCCTTTAATGACATGCAGATGATGATACTGGGCGTACGAAATCGATTTAAAACCACTTCGCAGGTAAATCAGCTACACTACCGTCGCTTTGCTGTGGCAAGGTGAGCAGATTTTAGCGTTCACCTCCATCTTTAGTATAGCTGTCGACGTAGGTGAGGGAGAAGGTGACAGATTGTTTCGTTCGATGCAATATTAAGCTGCATAGGTAATTGTGTGATTTTGCTTGTTGAGGTCTTCATTTGATGGATGTTGGTTTGCGAAAAATGGTGAAATCTTGAGCGGTATATTTGACTTGCTATTGCTTTATGTTTCAGTAAAACTAGTTGATGGGTATTGCAGCTCAATTATAGGAGTTAAAATAAGAAAATTTGCTAATTTTTCATTTTCCTTAAATTTTTCAAAATCTTGTTTTATTGTTCTAAAAAAGTAAAATCCGTACAAATACATAGTTTAAGTTTTCATAATCACTCTAAATTAGTGTAAAAAATTACCTTGGCCTAATCGACCACTTTCGTCCCATCAAGCATAAAACATCAAATATATCTACACCGAAAATAGTTTTCATGTAGCTTCCATTCGAAAAGCACACGATTTTTAACCAAAATCAAAATTTATGGAATTCATCCAAATGTTACATAACATTTATGCGATCACATTAATGTTATTTGATTTTTCATATGAATTTCATCGGCCTCATAATATTCATGCGATTTTGTGTTGGGATTTGCTGCTATGTGATCACAGGAAAGCTATGTGAAATTCACATGGAGTTCATCCATTAGATATGCGATGAATTTTTTGAGCGTATGATTTCGGCGTTAACGCTTCAATTATACGTTTGGCTTGATACTTCTAGATAAACATTTAAAAAGGTCCTATCTGCATTGATCGATTCTCTTCATCGATTTGCTATTTCGTTAATAGCTCAGCCCCAAAACCCTCCCTGTTGTATTTGACGTTTGGATGCTAGATAAGAATCTTCTTTATCAAAATATGTGGTAAAAATAGCGGAAACTGTTTGAATAGCAGTGGTTATCAAAAGAGAAAGTCGACGAAGAGAATGGATCAAAGCAAATAGGACCATTTGAATTGTCCAGCTCAAAAGTTACAACACAAAGCCTTTAATAGTGCAAAGCATGCTTTGTTGTTGTTGTTGTTTGTTCTCAAAAACAAAAGAAGCACTTCAAGCAAATTCATTTTTCCATTCCATTATTGCCTTCATGCGTATGGCGAAAAATTTGAAATCCAGACGGAGTGTTATATTTTTAGTTAAATATAAACTATTTCTGACTTTTTATCAAATCCAATGGGATGTTTTGATAATTAAATAAATTTAGAAGTCATATGTTGTAGAACATTCCATTTTGTGGATAAACCCGTTCGAAACTTAGAGATAAAGTGCGGGCTATGCTTAATTAGATTTACAGCATATTGCTATTTTTTTCTTTTTTATTGAGCTTGAATCAAGAAAACACAAACCATATTTTATTGCCCATTTTCACCAAAGAAGACTCATGCGCTAAAAATACAATAGCTGAATATAAATTAGAGTAATTGCAAGGCTTACGTTAATGCTTGTATACTTTAATAATCTACATTATTAAATTAAATAAATCACACAATCTTACGGTTTAATATTCTTCTAAGGATAATAACTATTCAGTAAGTTTGATAGAAAATGACCAAAGACAGTTTTTTAAATACTATTTTGATCTAAAACAGCTTGCTTCTCAAATTGCTTTTTGTGTTACACATTGCGGTGACTATGACATTATTATACGATCATTATTTTTTTTATAAAATAGCTTGGGCTAGTAATCCTAATAAAAGTGTACCGTCCACGAAAGATATTAGAAATGGTGCATCCTTATTCGATAAGGTTGGGATGATATTAACCCCAACTGGAGGCTATGCTCTTCTTATGGTTATTTTCTATGGGTGAAATTAGTACTGTTTGTACAGTTGAAAGTAGGCTTGAATTTTTTTTATCTTTATTAAGGAGAATTTCAGCCCTGGGCTGGTTCGTCTCCGGCAAGCTTGTAAACGCTCATTACAGCTAAAATGCTACTTTTTGAAATTATGAAACTATGAGATATTATAATAAAATGTTTTATAGGTACGATGCATAGGCGAAGCCAGAAAGGGCAGGAGGGGGGGGGGTGAAATATAGCAACACAAAGGCTGTCGGGGAAATGGCGTTCGGTGAAATGGCATTTGGCCAAATTTTCCATAGACATTTTTTTCACCCCTCCCTAGATCGAAACTTTGCTGCGCCCTTGGTAAGATGCAAGAAGATGAGGTAAAGTTTGTGTATGGCACATAAAACAAAACTCTGGAAGCTGAATCGACAGGTTTTATGAGTAATACACAAATTTTGCCTCCTCTTGCTGCTTCTTACAGATACAGGCAGGGTGCCTTCCATTCATTTTGACTAAAAAAAATGTTTTAAGAAATTATGGAATAATAAGAGATAATGAAAATATTTTGATTATGTAAACAACAAGAAAAAATTGTTAAGTTTGTGTTTAACACATAATACCTGCCAATTTTGCCACATGAGAGTCGCAATAAGCGATTTTGTAATTTATCTCACCCACTCTTCGCTCTTCACTCTTCGCGAAGAGGCGATCAGAAAAACGCTCATTGTGACTCTGTAAAAGCTAAATTTGCTGGTTTGATGTGTGAAACACAAACTTTACAATTTTTTCTTATTACTTACACATACAAAATATCATCATAATATCCTATTATTCTATAATTTCATAAAACATTTTTTTAGTCAAAATGAATGGAAGGCACCCTGGATACAGGCTCTACTTTTTGGAATCAAGTTTCGTTTTGCTTTGGCTAAATCCTTTCAATGAATGTATCGTCGATTTTCAAGCTGAAACAAAGCTTCAATTTGGCATTCCATTCCTTTCACCGGCACTCTGTCACCTGCACGCTATTTCAAAACTACCCTTATTTGAATAGAATCCACCCAGATCGGTCAAAACTGAACCTACCCAAAAATGGGTAAACTGTGTTGGGAGTGACAAGTTGATAAATGAACACCATTACCATGAATCCCTTCGACGTTGTTCATTTGTCCACTCCCAACACAGTTTACTCATATTTGGGTAGGTTAAGTTTTGACCAAATTGGGTGAATTGGGTATCGATCATCTCATATACGCCTTTATGCATGCTCATTCTCGAATTGAAAATTTGTTTGTATATGCCGATTGAGGTGTAGAATGCTGCGAAACTGTTCGACTTCAACAGAAAAAAAAGAAAACTATCAGTCTCTTCGTCGCATCGTTGTTGTCGATTTAAACTGATATTGTCCGGATAGCTTCTTCCAGATTCATGTGTTTTTAACCTGTGTTTGGTAAAACTTAAAAACTCATATCTCATGCATGAGTTTATTGCTGTCTGTCAAGCTCAAAGTTCAAACACGCTAGCACCACGTAGTTAGAAAATTCTGAACTTCTGTATACCAACCATTTGGTCTTGATGCTATGAACAACTATGAGCAACTTCCTAGATGGGAAGGATTTCAAGATATCACATAAAAAAGAAATCACAAATTCAAGCATACTTGCGCTGCATAGTGAAAAAATCCCGAGCTTCTTTCCACCAACAATAAGGTTTTGGTCCATTGAAAAACTTTGCCGAAGACAACAACTTCCTAGATGGCAAGGATTTCAAGATACGACACAAACTAGGAAATCTCAAATTCAAGTCCACTAGCACCGCGTAGTGAGAAAATTTCGAACTTCTGTCCAACAACCATTAGGACTAGATCCACTGAACTACTTATCCGAAGACAGCAACTTCCTAGATGGAAAGGATTTCAAGATTTCACGTAAAATAGGAAATCATCAATACATTTACACTAGCGTCACGTTGTGAGAAAATATCGAAATTCTGTCCACCAACCATTAGGTCATGATCTACTGAACAACTTTGCCGAAGGCTAAATGGAAAGAATTTTATGGTATCGACAAAAACAAGGAAATCACTTTTACATGCACACTAGCGTCGCGTAATGAGAAAATTCCTAAATTTTGTCCATCAACCATTAGGTATTGATCTACTGAACAACTTCCCCGAAGACAGCAACTTTCTAGATGGCAAGGATTTCAAGTTATAACATAAACAAGGAAATCACAAATTTAAGTTCACTAGTGCCGCGTAGTGAGAGAATTTCGAACTTCTGTCCATCATCATTAGGTCTTGATCTAATGAACAACTTCGCCAAAGGCAGCAACTTTCAAAATGGCAAGGATTTCAAGATATAACACAAACAAGGAAATCATAAACTCAAGCACACTAGCACCGCTGGTGAGAAAATTCCGACCAACCATTAGGTCTTGATCCAATGAACAACTTCGCCCAGGACAGTAAACTTCTACATGTCCAGGATCGCGAGATATTCCATTTTGGTCCCTATTAAGTCAAATCTCATATGCTACGTGCAATCCATTTACGCAAATTCGATTTACGCGGTACGTATTACTTGCGCTCTTCGGGAGAGAGTGTATGTTGGATCGTGCTCAGACGGATGTCATTTATACTGACTTATCTGCAGCCTTCGATAAATTGAATCACCGCAGATCAATCGCAAAAGTGGACAGGCTTGGTATCCACGGCTGTCTTTTGCTATGGTTTCAGTCGTACCTCACCGATCGCTATCTTACTGTTATCATTGGTGATCACCAGTTCCGTATGTTCGCTACCACGTCCGGTATACTCCAGGGTAGTCACCTGGGATCACTGATTTTCCTGATTTATTTCAATGACGTGAATCTGGCAATTGAGGGACCACGATTAACTCACGCAGATGACCTTAAACTCTTCCTTCGAATTCACTCAATTGAAGACTGTTGTTTCCTTTAAAGTCAGCTGAATGTTTTTGGTGATTGGTGTAGTGTGAATCGAATGGAGGTTAACCCGTCCAAATGCTCGGTTATCTCTTTTTCACGCAAAAAAGAGACTATTATGTTCAAGTATGTTTTGTTAGGCACTGAAATTGAGCGCGTCAGCCAAATTAAGGACCTAGGTGTGATTCTGGATACACAACTCTCTTTCAAGCAGCACAACTCGTATGTCGTTGACAAAGCTTCCAGAATTCTAGGGTTTATCTTC